TCAAGCAAGCTTTCTCAAAGGATTACAGAGCTCTATGAGGTAGGAAGTTTCCTCTAGTGCTGGGAGTGGTTCTTCCAATGTTACGGCAAACATTGTGAGACAGTGAGGAAGAGCTTGGTACTTAGGTGAAATTGTTTTGTATCTTCTCAGGATAAAGAATGCAGTGTTGATCTTAAAGCTAGTTCTATTTTCTTGTGATTTGGTAAATCTTACAGAAAGGAAAAATGAATGAAGTTGATACTTCTAGAAAATAATCATGTAATAGGCTAGGAGTGGGAAAGGGTGTTTGCTTTAGTATATCATTCATATGCAGAAAATAATAGCTAGCTCTAAGTGCTTTAGAGGAGTCTTAGGTGGAGGAATGTTCTGCAGATGATGCAGAGAAAGCTGGGCTGGAAGCTGTCATTTTGTAAGGAAAGGCAAAACAGGGAAATGGTTCCCATGTCTGTCTTCTGTTATCCAGACCACCAGCCCGAAGTTTCTTTTTTTTGTCCCATTTCTAACTGTAGACCGGTTCTTTAAAGATTTATCTGGATGCAAGAGAGGGTATTGACTGGCATTAGGACAAGAATGGGTCTCAGAAACTAATCTGAAGGTTGAGCTTAATTGATGCTAAACTGATGAGTGACTGTCTTGTTGCTTGGCTAAGCCCGCCTTTTTGGAAACACTCTTCTACAGCAAGAGCACAAAATGCTGGCAGGAGCCCTACGTAGTTTTAAGCTGTTGCTACAAGCTGTCACCTAGATTAGCTGGCAAAAGAACGTTTGAACCTGCAAATTACTTTGGCAGAGCCCAGTCTCTAACCATAGTTTCCTGACTGTGAAATTTTGCCAAGTATTGTACTGATAATTTGAGGGATGGGGGATCGCAAGGTTTCCAGGCACCAGATGTCTGCCTGCATTTGCTAAGGGATTTTTAGGTTGGCTTTATGTCTATCTACAATATTTTTATTTCCCTGGAAGTGTATGCAGTACATTTTCAGGAGGAGATGCTGAGACATCATTAATACCCATTCTTCTGCTTTTTAGCTTTCATTATTTAAACTCCTTTTAGAACTAGGGTTTGTTTGTTTCATTGTTTTTGAAAAGTCTCTATATCTTTTAGTTGGCAGTGGATCACACTCAAGTTCCAATGATCGCCATACAATCCATTTTACCTAAAGAGGAAAACCAAAATGCCTTACCAGGTGATTCACAATTTCTAAACCTAACTTACTTGTGGGTTATGCCTAGTAACAAGAACAGCAGCTAAAATGTAGGAAGCTGGTGTTAAAGTTTCAGATAACCACTCATAAAATGTAACATTTGGAAAGCATCACTCGCTTTCCAGAAGTAATGATTTGACAAGAACAGCTCCTCCTGCCCTGTTTAGCTCAATGTAAGCTAATAAGTTTTTTTTTGGATGTGAAGCCAAACTTCCGAATTCTATTTTTACCTTTTGCTTATAAGGATGAATGTCTAGTTAGGTAGACAGTTTAGATCAGGCTAAGAAAAAGCCAGCTAGAACACAGCAATCTACTTCATGTATCATCACTTCATGTAATGTCACCTTCTACAACATCAGTATCCTTGTTTTTCCATTGCTCTTTATCTATTGCTGCCATTTTGCACTCTCACTAGCAGAAGCTTCAGCTGCCCTTTACTGTAGCATATTTTGAACCTTTGTAAACATATGCATTAAGGAAATTTACTTCAGATAAAGTAATTATCTGAAACCACAGCACAAACAGTCCAACCAAATCTAGTCTCATTAAATTAATCGTGACATTAGGAGGTCTCATCCTTTTGACTTCATTTTTATTCATAGATTAGAAGGAGGAAAACAAACATCTCGGTGGTTTCTCAAGTTCAAATGAAGCGGTTCAAATGCAGGAATGTTTCTAAGTCTCTGAGCTGAAGACAAAACAACAGCAATTGAGGCAGAAGTATCATGAACAAAAAATTCTGACTTTTGGAGACAAATATCTATTTTTTCCACTGTAAAAATTGCCAAATGTTTAATTTTTTGGTGATGTATCTTTTGCATCATCTGTTTCCCTCTAGTTCTGTAAGCAATTATGTTGCTTCACTTTTTAAAGATTTAATGCTTTTATTGTTTTGTTCTAATCTATTGTAATAACTAGCAGCAGATTTAATGTTTATCAGGAACTCCTGAAGTACAATTTCAGTTTTCAGAAGACTTATTTTCAGAAGAAAAATGTATTTCATTTCAAAAACTTGTTTTGTTTTTCATTTTTTAGTTTAGACCCATTCTGTGTTGTTAACAACCATGTTTTGCTTAGAGTTGTTTTGTTTTAGGGCTGTAATATATGAACATAACAGAAGATGGATGGCAGAATTGAAGATAGGAAAATGCAAAAATAGTATAGTTAGTTTTAGGGCTAGGAAATTTTAATAAAAAGTTTCACACTCATTTTCTGTTTTAAAAACAGCCACCTTGCAGTCAAAGTCCTTTGGGGTTTTTACTAGAGTTTGTAAAGCTCCTTTAATACAGAGATTAACGATTTCTTTTATTTCTTTCATTCCACTTATTGGTTTGTAAACCTGAAGGCTGTGAATTTTATGAAAGAAAATCCTTTAATTTTGTGTATGCCTATTGATATGTGCGGTTGCCATGGTACAGATTTGGAGTGGAACTTTTAAATCTCTGACTGGAACCGATATGATGATTTCTAGCATCATTTTTCTGATACAATTAATCAGAAGTCTGAAAAATTACTCACTGAATTTAGCTGACTGGATGCCCTAAAGGTCTAAAGTTCTAAAGTAAAGGTCTAAACTTTACTACGTGGTCTTAAACTTTCTGCAGGGCCCCACTTCAGGCGTACAAACTGATTTGTGTGATGAAATTTTGTTGAGAGTTCATGACTCCCTCTGAGTTGCAAGCCATTGTCTGGGAGCAGCTGCTTTAATTTCTAGCTATTCATTTTAATCTCTTCTTTCCAATTGTTTTGTACAATGCCGTATTATGAATAGAGTTTTATATAACTTTCATCAAGTAGCTGAGTGAATCAAGAATTGTTAAAAACTTTGCATCAATTCCTTAGGACATTTCTGCTTCCTTTCCTAACAGCCCCTGCTGTAGAGTTCCAGCTTATTCGATGAGCATAGTCATTGATGGCGGACATCAAGATTTAGGCTGTGGCTGTAAGGTCCTTTGAAGATAAAGATGGATTTTAACTCCATTAAGGACTTTATAGGAAGTTTATGAAGAATGGAAGATATCTAGTAGGCATTCAGCAGCCTGGATTCATGACAGATGCTGCAGAATCAGTTGCCAGATAAAGGTTTTTAAGCCCAAAGCCTCCATGCTCAGGTGTGATGCCAAATATGAAAACCTGAGGACTGTTATTTTGTGAAATGAGGCTCATGGTTGTATTTGTCAGTAAATTTTTTTTCTTTGTGAAGCTTGGAGTTGAGGAGAAATCCAAGAGTATGTCTGAGCTCCAGACTGCTCCTAGCTAACAGTGAGTGCTGGTTTTGTTGTTTTTTCACTGAGGAAATGCCACTTCGACTATTGATATACTTGTGTACCCAGCGATACCATGTGTCTTGCTTGAGAATATCTTACCAGATATATAAATTGGCTCCATTTGTCAGTTGATTTTACTCAAACAGAGACATTTGGAAGGTAGTGATGTGGCTGTGTGGCAGGACAGGTGGGGCTGTGTACTGTCTGAATGTTAATGTTACTTGGAAACCACCTGGAAAATTTGTCAGACTGCATTCTGCTGTTAATAATAAAGAAGCAAAGTTAAGTGATGATACAATTGAGATATGAATTAGAAATACCATAATTTTAAAATGAAAATAAGTTTTTCTTAGGCGGGTCTGATTATCTTTCAGTGAAGAAAATGTTATCTAAACCCCCTTCTTGAGTTCCACTATTGAAAGTGTTCACAGGTCGTCAGCTTTCTGAAGTTGAAACTCTTCGCATGTAAATCGTTCTTCTCTAACAGACCCATACAGGTTTTTGTACTGAATCACTACATTTAATGTTTTCTGTATGTTCAGGAAAGACTTTGAAAACATAAAAATGTAGATCCTCTTCACCACCTTTTTTTTTTTTTTATGGCAACTATTTTGTCTTGTACATATTGTGATCTATTTCAGGTATTCTGAGTGGGTATAGCAGATGTGATAAGATGTATAAAACAGAATTTTTCGCCAGACTATGTTCTGCCCTAAACACCACTCTGGGCAGAAAGAAATTCAAGTAAATAAGGAGGTCAAGTATTTTATATTTTTGCCTGATATCATATAGCTTTCTGTATTACTTTTTTTTTTTATAGGTTACTTTGAAAATTTAAAATTAACAGAGAAGAAAAATTTCTCTGTTTGCCAGAAATTTTTGGTTTTCTCTTCATTGAGAAACCATTTTCTGCTTTTTGAATGCAGCCTCATACTATTGCTACCAAAGGTATGGAAAAAATTTAATTAATTTGTGCTCCCTTGGCTGGCCTTACAGCTGTGCAGAATAGATCTATCCCATACCTTCAAAGTACCCACACTTTCAACTGGTTTGTGGAAATTGGGTCTTTGGGGCGTAGAGAGAACACTTTATCTGCAAGATCCAGATCTGAGCAGTGAATAATGGCATTTCTGAAGTAACCTCTCAGTAACAGTGGGAGCTTTCAGAAAGGAAGCAACAATGATATTTTGCGGTAACTTTGAGTACATCCAGTTGCAGCAGATGTGTAATCTGTTAGTATGATATAGGAGAGCTGTACATTTGCTACCTGTAGTATACAATGTGTACAAAAATTGTTTCATTTTTTTGCCTGGACTTCCTGAAAATCATCTTTGTAGTACAGTGCAGAAAAGCGGAACTGAAATGATCAAGTTGTTAAAAAATAATTGAAATAATCCAAATTTGTTTGAAACTAAGGTGCAAAGCCTGTTATGCCTGGGAACATTGTCTTGGGAACATTTTCTTGATAGTGATCACTTAAGAACTATTACGTATTCTTTTGTTGTTGTTTTGTTTTTTTTTTTTTTAAGCTGGACCTGTGATCTGCAGAATGCTAACATACCCTCCAACTCGAAGAGCCTTAATTGTGGGTTGTGGTCTGCAGATGTTTCAACAACTGTCAGGGATTAACACCGTCATGTATGTATTTACTGCTTGCTTCTCTTTATAAATATAAGAAAAAGACAATTAGACCAGTAGCAGTTGTAGATGGGCTTCTGGACGAAATCTGAAATGTGAAAGATTGAGTGAGAGCGCTGGAATGCTGGTTTGAAATCCAGATATTGACGTATTTGGCGTCTCAGAAAATTGGTACAAGAGGATGTTAGTATAAGGGCAAACACTTGTATAGAGATGAGAATGCAAACTGTACACTGGGAGATGCATTATTATATGTTAGGGTTTATGGTCAAAGCTATGTATGTCTAGAGAAGAAACTACACTTACAGTTTGAATTTGTGTGCAAATAGATCAAAATACTGTGAGGGTTAGACTGTTTATCATGTAAAGGAGATGGAAAATTACTGTGAAGTGCTAAAGCAGGTAAGATGCTGAGGGAAGAAGCATTTCCTGTTATTACATGGTTCTGTTACGTGTGTGAAGACTCAGTAAATGCAGAAATGAAGAACAATATATTGGATGTTTTGATAAGCTGTCAGCTCACAAGAGGAGTAGGTCTTGGGAAATGTGCAGTGCTCAAGACATAGTTTAAGATTAAATTACTATTGAGCTACCCTACAAGAGTAACCATAACGAATATGATTTCCATATTGTTTTAAGAGCAAGTGTAAAGTATATTGCAGTAACGTCTTACAGAGAGAACTACAGCTAAGGGAGCAAGCTTGTTAGGAAATAGTTAAAAGGAATACCCAAAAGGATAAAGCTTTTAGTGGTATCAAGAGCTACCGTATTAAATGTTAGGGTAAATATCTGCCATCTATCACAACGGGGAAAAACCCAAACTCAGTATTGTTAAACTGCAAAGGAGAGAAATCTGTAACAGGTAAAGAGAAACTTTATAAAGTAGAAATTGTAAACAAATGTGAGAGATGGGAGAATGCATCACTGGTAAGTTATGTGTGAAAACCAGAAGACAGGCATAGAAGGAGCTTGGAGAAATTCTTCAGGCACATCAGAAGCAAGAGACCTAATAGTCTCCAGGCCCGGTAAGGGTCAAGATGGTGTGAGAACACTAGCAGAAGATAAATATTTAGCAAATCTTACAAAGACTCTTTTTGCATCTGTGTTAATTATGGAGGGTATATGAAGGTTCCTGCACTGGAGCTTACTTGAGATGTCTCAGAATGGTCTGTTTCAAATTCAAGTGTTAGGGGAAGAACTTTTAGAACAAGCTGATAAAAATGAATAATAACAAATTGCTTGGACTAATCAGGGTACACCCAACAGGTCTGGAGTAATTCAAATACATAATTACTGAATTTGGAAATGTAGCATAACATGTGTGAGGCTACAGACCAGAAAGTTTTATCTCTGTCCTTATCAAAATTAATTAAAATTGTCATAGAATCAAATGAGAAGACGTGTGTTTATAAATACGAAAAATGAACATGGAGAATATAAAATAATAAAGGAGAGCCAGTATGATTGTTGTAGACAGATTATAGCTTGCAGATTGGTTGGATGTGAGTTCATGGTCATGTTAGAACTATATATCCCATGTGAACTAACCATCCTAGTCCATGACAACTGTTGCCAAAGTTTCTTGAAGAAACCAGATGGCCACAAAAGTAAGAGAGAAGCCCTCTCAGGTTAATAACTTTTTAAGATAGATAGGAAAAAAGAGGATGAGAGTAAAAGATCAGTTATCACAAGACAAGAATAGGCTCCTGTAGGGATCTACGTGGAGATCTTTGCTGCTTTAATAAGTCTGGGAAAGGGGCTAAACAGCAAAATAACAGCTTGTACTCCCACACCATTCACGATATTAAGACCCCCAAATCTGTGAACGTGAACAGTTGTGGGAAGATAATACAAGATAACAAATTAATAAAATGGCAAATGCATTAACAATACAATATTATGCAATAATGCTTGCAGGAGAGAACTGGCTCACTAACATGCATGGCAGTCTAAATTGTTACTACTTAAAAAAGAGGTCTTGAAGTTGCATTATAGTTCTATACAAACGTCATGTTGACATCCATGACCGATCTGGAATAATACAAACAATTGCAGATGTCCTTTCTTTTAGTAAGGATAAATCAGGTTACATATGGGGAAAGAGATACCTGTATTTGAACAGGATGGTTAGGACTCTGCGGCTTGGAAAAGAAATGAGTTCAGAAGAAACGCAAGAGGCGTATAAAGTTAGTAATGTTTTGGAGAAGATGGTGAGAGCATGATTGTTCATCACTTCTTATAACACAGTTTTGATGACTCCTAGCTCTTACCCAGCAGTAGGTTTAAAATAAATGTTTTTTTCATGCAGCAAATAATTACCTAGTGGAACTCATTGCCACAGGATGTTACAGATGCCAAATGTTGAAGTAAGTTTAGAAGTTAATTAGGGAAACTTATATAATAAACATTATTAAAATGTTGTTAAACATAATGTGGATGCAACCTCTGGCCAAGGACAGTCATTCTCACATTTGGTTCTTACTACTTTAGCATGCCTTATTAGGCTAGAATAAAAACTTGACAGTTCACAAGGTTTATGACACTGGTAGGTTGACTTGGTTTATTTTAAACTTCGTATGTTTTAAAATCTCAAACTCCTTTCTGTGTAGGAGGTTTTACAAATAGTTTGGAATTGACCTAATTTGCTTGTGGATGTGTAGGAGGACAGAATTACAACTATAAAACATAGCTTAATCTTAGCTTTAAAGTAAGAAAATGCCTATAATAAACACATGAAGGCACTATTGTTAAAGGACTGGCTTGTAAACCATTTGCAATATCCAGTATTTTTTTAATAATCCAGTGTAACTACACGTTTAGTTGTCAGGTATGCAAGACAAACATTCTCCTATGAAAGGACATTTTTCAAATATAAGTAAGCAGCTGTCTATTGATGGTTTACTTGCACAGAAATTGATGATTGCTTTTTAATGCAGTGATTAAATGCTACCTTAAGGAATTATCAGATTGTATTAACTCTCTAAGCACTGTTTTCCTCTCCATAATGTTTGGTTGTCTCATTCTGGGATTGCTGTTCTGTTGCAGCAGGAAAACAGGCATTGGTTATGGTTGGAGGTTGTAGGATTGTGTGGACTTCCCTTCAGTGGTTTTGCAAGCTCGTTTACCAAAAACAGTCACAAAAAATGTTTTGATGGTTGATGTTCGCTGTAACTTTGGTGCTGCTGTGAATCTTCTTCTCTTGATATACCCCTTCCTAGGCCATAGGAGAAGAGGCTGATGACCCCGACTTGCTGTTGCCTGGCTTTCCCTGGCAGAGAATTTAGCTCCCTTTCTCCTTTTGTATTTCCATGGGACTCTTCTACACTGCGACCAGTTAACTTAACATGGCAGCATCCATGATGTGCCCTGACTTGTTCAAATCTTCTGGCTTGATGCTTTCCACTATTTCTGATATAAAATAATTTATTAAATCTCGTCTTTTAGTATAAGCAAGTGAGGCCATAAGAGTGAGTTTGTGTGTGTCTGAAAAACTAATTTAAAAAAAAAACCAAACAACATAAATCACAAAGCAGGAAAGTGAAATGAAAACATAAGGAAGAAGACAGTTGTAGAATGATTTAATACTTCCCCAATTTGTAGATGTATATTTACTGAGTAACTCTTCTATTTAAGAAAACAAAAGTTTGAATCAAAAGTATGGGTGTTAGAGTAAGAAATTATATAGAGGAATTTTGCAGGGGTCTAAAAATAATCGCTCAGTGTACCCAGTAGTAGAAGAGATCCGAAAAAGCAGAAAAATACTACAAGAAACACACAGAGACAACAACAAAAATCTAGAGCTTCCATGCTTAAGAGTTCAGATATCTGTTATATATTTCCTGATTAAAAGTTGGATATCAGTAGTGAAGCCAACAAAGTCCACGTGTAGTTGGATTTCTCTTGAGGATGGGGAGAGGAAAACTAGAAGAACATTCGTAAGAATTGTTGAGGACTGTGCTCTGTCCATCCCATCGTGCAATAAACTGATCTATTTTTTGCACAGAAATAGTTTCATATTGCATTTGAATCAGCCATGTATGTGACATCCAGCTGTGAGGAACCAGAAACTCCCGTCACGAACAGGATGTTACTGAACTGCATGCGGAGCAGCCTCTGCATTGAGGAGGTGGATCTAAAAGAGAAACAAAATGTAAAAATAGGCTAAGGAGATTGTGACTCTCACAGGAACACATTCTAGCGTGATAAATTTAGTCAGTGAAAGAATAAAGCTCAGTGACCTATAGCTTTGATTCCTTTTTTTTCCGAAGAACAAGTGTACCACTGCTGTTTGATAGAGTGCCTGAAGTAGAAAAAAATTTTCCTTTTTGTCATGGCTTTTGCCAGCTGAAGTGACCTGTAAAAGATAAAGTCATACAATTTTGGACAAGCATCTCTCACATTGGTGCAAACAGGTCTGAAATGGTTTAACTTTTCAGTTTCTTATCACTCTGGTATTTTCTCGTTTTCAAAACGAAAGCTCACTGTTTCAGGCCTGGAGTCACAAATCTGGCTGACAGGAGACCTATGAAGGAAGTTATATTCCAGGATAGCAGTTACTACAAATTAGCTTTTTAATAGTAACATATCCCAGAATTTTGTTAAAAAGGTGGTGTGCAGATATTTTCAAGCCCACAGTGGCCCATAGTTAAAACTTGGTGGAAGAGGACCATTTTAAGGTAAAACTTTAAGCTATTTTTTCCCATCAGTTTCTTCTTAAAAAAAAAAAAAAAAAAAAGGAAGACATTCCTTTTTTGGGGAGTGGGAGGAAGAGGGGGCTTCAAGCATTTGACTATTTCAGAATGTTTGGTGAAAAACATGAGTATATGGATGTTTTAGCTATATGCGCACGTTCCTGCAGGACTGGGACTTCTGAAAACACTCCTGGTACTGTGCAGCTTCATTGCAGTCAAAAAAAAAAAAAACATGGGGAAGAAAGCTTTTGGAAAAAATCCTAAGCTATCTTGAATACTAAGCAGTAATTTAGCCATAATTGGAGGGAG